TTTTAAGCCACCGGGTCCGGGACGCGAACCGCGGTCGACTACGTGGGAGTCCAGCGACATAGCCATTACGCTAACTGCTGGTTCCCCCCTATATAATTTTTCAAAATCCATGTACTTTTTTTTTTTAACCAAATACTTAAAGAAATGGCATTAAAGAAATAATTGTGGTTATGTTCATTTTGTAAATCTGAATATTTAGCCATTCTTTGATAGCATGATCAATTTCTCTTTAAAATGAAATGAACATTTTACATATCATTTTTAGTATACATATTCACTAATACAAATAAAGCAATATATATCTGTATATATACAGATACTTGGGCCCAGAAATGTTTAGGATTTCTGAGTTCTTTGGATTTTGATATATTTGCATGTACATATTATTATTACATAATAAGTGCATAATATATATATATATATATTTTTTTTTTTTGGAGAGGTTTTCACTATAGGGCGTGTGCGCTCGCCAGACAGAGAGAGACATAGAGACAGAAAGCGAGAAATCATCCCTCAGGGTGGATGGCCACACCACAATCCCTTCTCCTCCATTCTCCTCTCGGGATCTTGGGCACACATGCACATGCGCCCGGCGTGAGTTTTAAGCCACCGGGTCTGGGACGCGAACCACGGTCGACTACATGGGAGTCCAGCGACATAGCCATTACACTAACTGCTGGTTCCCCAGTGCATAATATTTACATAATATTACATAATATGTCTCAGGGATAGAACCTAGTTCTTTTTTTTTTTTTCTTTTTTTTGGAGAGGTTTTCATTATAGGGAGCGTGCGCTTGCCAGAAAGACAGAGCGAGACAGAAAGAAAGCAAGAAACCACCCCCGGACAGAGAGAGACAGAAAGAAAGCAAGAAACCACCCCCGAGGGGGGATGGCCACATCGCAACCCCTTCTCCTCCATTCTCCTCTTGGGACCTTGGGCTCACAGGTACATGCACCGGCGTGAGTTTAAGCCACCGGGTCTGGGACTTGAATTGCTGTCGACTACATGGGAGTCCAGCAACATAGCCATTACTCTCACTGCTAGTCCCATAGAACCCAGTTCTAAACATGAAAGTCAGTTTCTTCATATTCACCTTATACACATAGTCTGAAGGTAACTTTTGTATTGTGGCATTTGTGACCTGTCATGATGTCAGATGTGGAATTTGCCATTTGTGGCATCATATTGGCACTAAGAAAGTTTCCAATGTTGGATTTCCGGTATTGTCAGGTTAGGGATGCTCAATCTGTATACACACACGCACGCACGCACACACACACACACAAACACACACACACCAAGACAGTGTTGGCTATAGGCATTTTTGCCATGTGCCTTTAAAAAATCAATCATAACTACTATACCATAAAATTCACCATTTTAAAGTATGCAATTCAGTGATTTTTTTTTAGTATATTTACCTGGCTGTTCAACTGTCTCTCCTACCTAATTCCAGAATCTTTTACTCATCTCCAAAAAGCTGTAAATCCATTAGGGCCACTTCCTCCTCCCCAGCCCCTGAACACTGGCCATCACTACTTTACTTTCCGTCTGCTTTGGCTCTTGTGGACATTTTCTATAAATGGAGTCATACAATACATTGCCCTTTTATGTCCTACTTCTTTCGCTTACCCTATGTTTTTAATACTTATTTTTTAAAGAGATTTTTGCCTTAGGTTGCATGTGCTGGCCATAGACAGACAGAGACAGTGAGAGGGAAAGTGAGATCACCCCCAAGGGGGATGGCCATGCTGCAATCCGTTCTCCATTTTCCTCCCGGGATCTTGGGCACACCGTCTAGTGTGATTTTTCAAGCCACCAGATCCAGGACTCGAACTGCAGTCAGCCATGTGAAAGTCCAGCAGTTTTTGGTGAACATATTTTCTATTTCTGTCTGGAGACCCAGGAATAAAATTGCTTGGTGATATTATAATTCTGTATTTCATTTATTAAGGAACTGTCAAACTGTTTTCCAGAGTGATTACATTATTAGTGCACTTAACTTTTTGATTTTTATTATTGTAACACACGTCATAATTTCAGCATTCATTATTTTTTTTTTTAAGAAGTTTTTGCTATAGGGCATGTGTGCTCGCCAGACAGAGAGAGACAGAGAGAGAGAAAGTGAGAAATCACCCCCCCCAGGGAGGATGGCCATGCCGCAATCCCCTCTCCTCCATGCTCCTCTCAGGATCTTGGGCACACACGCACTTGGCGTGAGGTTTAAGCCACTGGGTCTGGGGCACAAACCGCAGTCGACTACGTGGGAGTCCAGCGACATAGCCATTATGCTAACTGCTGGTCCCAGCATTAATTACTTTTTGATCTTACTATATAAAAATCATTTTTTTTTACGTCTACCGTAATTTAAGTACATATGCATACATACACACACACATACACACATATACTTTTTCCAAAAGAGAAATTAAATTGTATCTAAACTGTTCACTTCAAGAGATGGCATGATGCATTGAAATTCCACCAAAGGAGTCAGAAAGCTTCAGTTCTAATTCTAGCTCTGTGCTGGTTAGTGGCTTAAATTCAGTCTGGGCACTGATCCCCTGTGTATCTCAGGCTTCCATCTAAATTGAAGGACTTGTACCACTAACCACCAAAACACCCTCCTGTGAATCTGTGATCAGAGCTCCTTTTTCTTTTATTCTTTTCTGCTCCCCCAAAATCCTTCTTCCTACTTTTTGCTCAACATTTGCCATGCCAGCACGTCTAACTCCTCCCTCCTATAGTGGAACAAAGAGACTAACTTTTCTATCCATGAATACAAAGGAGTACCTATTTTCCACTTCCCTCTTGGTGATGCAAGTAAATTCCATAGGGCCATGGTGGTACTCAATGCAAGAGCTGCTGGTTGACTAGGAAAAAATATGAGGGACTTGAAGAAGTTCATGGGAACATGCAATTAAAGTGTAAGGTTTTATTATGCAAAATAATTTTGAAATCCATACATAGTTTTTCATAATGTGCATTTTCCACGAACATTTTGAAATCCCTTTGTAGTTAAGCCTGACTGTTAGAAGTAGTCGCTTGGAGTTTCCCACATACAGGCAGTCTGTGTGAGGAAAGAAGATCACCACATTCGATGGCTGAGATTGTTTTTAAGTTACGCTTTCTGTCCTCATAAACTGCAGAATTGATGGTGTGAACATGATGGAAATTTCATGAATCTCTTTATTTGTTAAGTATTCAGCTTTATTCGTCACACATGCAAAGTGATATTCTCAAGTTGTTGGTACTAGAATGTTTATAGGTTAAATGTATAATGTTGGGGACCAGCAGTTAGCGTAATAGCTATGTCGCTGAACTCCCACGTAGCCAACTGCAGTTCGAGTCCCGGACCTGGTGGCTTAAACTCACACCGGGCTCTTGTGCGTGCGAGCCCAAGATCCGAGAGGAGAATGGAGGAGAAGGGATTGCGGCGTGGCCCTCTCCCCTGAGAGGGTGATTTCTCAATTTCTTTCTCTCTGTCTCTCTCTGTCTTTCTGGTGAGCGTACACGTCCTTATAGCAAAAACCTCTTAAAAAAAAAAAAAGTATGATGTTGATGGAAGGCTGTAAGTATGGCTTTGATACATTTTAAACAGACTGTTCATTTTGTGAAACTTCAAAACTAACCTATCATGAAGAGTCAAATGACAGTTCTTTTATTTTTTTAAATATTTTAGATTGTGCATTTTCTTGAGACGTTAATGTTATATATTGTACCATTTCTTTGAGAACAAAGATAGTCTAATAGCTTTTTCTTTTTACTTATATATTCATAAACCTGCTTTTTTGTTAATTCATAATTATTTTCCCCATAAAGTAATTGTCATCAGGATTATGGTTTCTAGGGTTTGAGGTACCAAACTAAATTCTAGAAGTATACAATGTTTATGAACTTTAGCAGACCCTAAGGATGACTCTTTAAATGTGTCATTTCTAACTTTGCTAAATCTATGTTGTTGTCCTGTTGTTGAGATACAATATTAGCTTAGTACCAACAATCCTATTCATTCCTATGTTCTGCATTTGAGCACTATGAGTAAGGCACTCTGGAACAATACATTATCTTATTAAAATATGAATTGGACAAATAAAGTTCTGTTTCAAATAAACAGATATTTAAGTGGCAGTATAAAATGTTCATTTATTTGTTTTATTTTGCTACATTTGTTCTAGGTTGGTTCTTACTTGAAATCTCCAAAATTCCCTATCTGGATTGTTGGCAGTGAAACTCATCTCACCGTATTTTTTGCCAAGGTATGCTAATAGCAGGGTTTGTTTTTCTTTAAGATGACATCAGGCAAACAGAAGTCCAAATTTGTTAATTATTATTTGAATCTTTGTGCAAATTTCACTTTGTTTCTACTAACAAATAGATTGTTAGTTAGTACCAAAGAACATTCTGTTATACTGCTCTAATTCTGCAATCATGTTAACAAAATTTATCATGGTTTACTTATAATTTCTTTTCTTTTTCTGACTTTAGAGCTTTGGCCTTTGATTTTTTTTCCCCCCCAAAATCACTCGTATTATGGAGAAAACAATAGCATTTAAAAGTTCTGGATTGCATTTTTTTATAGAGGATAAAGAGCCAACTTACATGATATAAAATATTTTAATGACAGCATCTTCTTTGAAGTTATTTTAAAATTAAGTAACAGTTTAATAGTATTGAAATCAAGTACTTTTAAAAAATAGAATATTTACTAAAATTGTAATGTGTGTATGATTATAATATTGAACTAGATAAAGTGCATTTGAATTTATTTATTTTATAACTTGTATGACAAAGCTACTTCTAAAATCTCAATCTTTATATATAATATTTTCCACAGTTGAATGGTAAAAGGCTTTGGCATCAGCCATCCACCTTTTGAATCCCAGCTTTACCACTTCCTAACATGTCTCAACTTTTTTCTCTACATCTTTAAAATAAGGACTAACGATATTCCTTAGCTCTTAAAATTGTTGTCAGGTTTAAATATAAGATATTTAGCAATGACTAGTACAAGTTAAATGCTCAATAAATCATAGATACTCTGATCAACATCACCAATGTAGTTTTCATAATTCAACAAACATTTGTTAAACATTTTTTGATATCATGGACAGAATTGCTAGATGTTTGTTGGGGTCGGTGAGTGGAAAGGGGAATTTGAAATTGCATTTTGGGAACCAGCAGTTAGCATAATGGCTATGTCGCTGGACTCCCATGTAGTCAACCGCGGTTCGCATCCCGGACCCAGTGGCTTAGAACTCACTCCAGGCTCGTGTGCATGCCTGCCCAAGATCCCGAGAAGAGAATGGGGGAGAAGGGATTGTGACGTGACCATCCCCTCTGGGGGGGTGATTTCTCGCTTTCTGTCTCTCTGTCTCTCTCTGTCTGTCTGGCGAGCGCATGCACCCTATAGCGAAAACCTCTCAAAATAAAAAAGAAAAGAAAGAAATTGCATTTTGAAGTTTAATTCCAGTGCACATTTGTGATTACCCCATGAGCTTTTTTTACTAGCACGTGTTTGTGAATATGAGATTATTTGTTTCTCTAATAAGTCTGACTTGTGTGCATTATACCAAACTTTGAATTAACAGTGTTAAGTTTTGTGAATCTAATTATTTTTTCCTGTATTTACATTATGGCTGGCAAATGTCCAGCTTATTTTATTTAGAGCAAGATACATAATTACCTTTTCTTAAACAACAGCTCTAAAAGTACAAGCCTTACTGATTTGTTACATTTAGTCTGAAAATTTTTGCTTTTTATTTCTCTCTTAAGGTAGGAAGGAAGAAGTTAAAAACAGAATGTGTACTGTAGCAATAACTTTTAGTTCCTGAGTGAGAATTTCATGTTATAACTTTCCAGAAAGGAAAGTCAATTGCAGCTACATGTAAAATGCATTTTTAAACCAATATTTTTTAAGAGATATTTTTGCTATAGGGAGTGTGCTCTCACTGGCAAGGCAGAGAGACAGAGCCAGGAAATAAGAAACCATTCTCCAGGGGGGATGGCCATGCTGCAAGCCCTTCTCCTTCATTCTCCTCTCAGAATTTTGGGCATGCAAACACGTGTGCCTGGCGTGAGTTTCAAGCCACCAGGTCCGGGACTTGAACGACCTACCATGTGAGAGTCCAGTGCCTTAACAACTATGACACCTGCTAGCCCATCAAACCAATTATTAATTATGCTATTTCCAACTCTATTCTTGAACATTAGAAAAATAAGTTCTGTAAAACTATATGTAGTTGTTAAATATAAAAATAATGTGAAAGTAATTTAAATCATAAATTTTATGATTGACATTTAAGAAATGATTTGTTGTCAGAACAACAGGAGACATTTCACAGAAGGTTAATACAAGTAACAGTGTCAGCTGAGCTATGTAGATTTGCAGACACTTTGTATTGAAGCATCTGAAAAAATTGGGGATATTGACAGAGTCCTAAGAGTGATTATACTCTTCATTTTATAAAACCCACACTTTTTACTCATCTTTCTTGGTTTGTTGTCCCTGTAGTATTTAATCTGTTGTGCTGTTCCATTTATCTCAGGACACAAAGTTCACGGTTCCTAATTCCGCACTTTTTCTGATGTCTCATGGTAGGCAGGGAGCCTTGTCCATAGAATGGGCTGTCATTCATTAATTTTCATATGTGTAGATCCTAGCCATGTACAGTGAATGCTGAGTACAGACATAGATTTCCTGAATACTGAAGCTCATAAAACACAGGTGTAGGCCTGGAAAACATAGCTTAATGCATGCCATGTAATCAAACACAGTATTTAAGTTTACATTTATTTGCATCCTCAAAGCTATCATCATAAGAGCATGCATATGCAATACGTTGTTTATAGAAAAATGTATAGTAATATTTTAGATTTGAGGGGGCAGACAGTGGCATAGAGTAAAACACAATGCTCTGTGAGGCAGTCCCATTTGGGACGGTTCCCAGTTCAAGTCCAGACACCTCCCTGCGTATGCCAGGCACATGCTTGCCCAGGATTTGGGGCTGGCCAAAGGCCAGGGGTGGGTTATGGTATCAAGATCTTATTAGAGGTGTTGTCTCTGTCTCTTTTGCTCATGAAAGAAATAAGTAAAATTAAGAAGAAAATAATTTAAATTATTTTAGATTCTTTACTATAAATCGTATTAATTGTATGTGTCAAGTACCTTATCTCTCTATTAGAACTCCTGAGCGTTATACTGATTGTTACTGTTTTCAGACCAACTTTCGTAGTCTCAGGATCTGGTATGCAGTCTCGCACATTGGGTAGGATATTCGTTAGTTGAACGAAGGCTTTTGCATGAATTTATCACGTTGTGTTCCAGTGACATTTTTATCGCCTAAAAATACTTTTTCATGACTCATTTCATAGCTTCTTAAGGCCCTTTCTTTACCATGTATTTTAGAATAGCTTAATTTGGATTGTACTTGTTATCTTTAAAATGAATTAGAGGTAAAAGAATTTTTTTTTCCTTTGGAAATTTAGTAAAACAAAATAGATCACCTAGATGATAAATGAGAGCAATAAGACTTGATAATATTTACTGGGTTCAGGACCAGCCTGTGGTGTGGTGGTTAAGGAGGCTGGATCCCACATAGCTGACTGTGGTTCAAGTGCCAGACCCAAGGCCTTGAAAAAACACATGTGTGTGTGCACCCAAAATTCCGAGAGGAGAATAGAGGAGACGAGATTATAGTGTGGTCGTCATCCCTCCTTGGGAGGAGGGTGATTTCTTTCTCTCTCTCTCTCTCTCTCTCTGTCTCTCTCTCTCTCTGTTTCTCCTTGGCAAGCACACGCACCCTATAGCAAATGAGGAATAAAGATAAGATAAAACATTTTATTGGTTCAGTTTTAGGTATTTGCATAATTGTTACCACATAGAAAGTACCGTAGATTTTGCTCTCCTTAAAATTATAACAAGAACCATTATTTTTATGGTTTTCTCCCTTAATATTTCAGCATTTGAGCAAGCAATTTAATCTGTGAGGTTGGTTGTTTTTTTTTTTTTTTTTTTTTTTTGCGTTTTGTTTTTGGTGAGTTTGTTCACATTATGTGTTCCATGGCATGAAGCAAACATCGTTCCCTACCCCCGCCAGTTTGTTAAATAAATAAACATGTACTTTTTTTTTGATTCTTTTACAGTTTTTGCCGTAAGATGTGTGCATTTGCTGGAGAGAGACAGAGAAAGACAGGAGAGAGAAAGTGAGAAATCACCCCCCAAGGGGGATGGTCATGGGTAGTCCTTTACCCTCCAGTCTTCTCACAGGATTTTGGGCATGTATGCACATGTGCCTGGCATGGATTTTCAAGCCATCAGGTCCAGGAGTTAAACTGCAGTCAGCCATGTAAGAGTCCGGCCCCTTAACTCCTGCACCACCTCCCGGCCTCTGTTGTAAATATTAATATCTGTCTATTTCTGTAAAACTGTTACATTTTTCCAAATATATATTTCAAGTGCTGACTTTGTACAAGTCATAGTTTTGTAAAGTTGGTTGGAATTCGTCATTCTCAAAGCAACCTATAATTTGGCATTGTGAAATGCCTAGGGAAAGCAGTTAATTCTTCACGTGACTTATGTACCAAGAGTAATAATGGTTGGAACTGCCCTATCTTCATTCATTCATACACTGTACTCATTCATTAAGTATTTACTGAGCATACAGCATGTGCCTGGCACTATGCTAGTTGTTACAAATGCAGCAGTAAGCAAAAATAGATACGATGTCTGATTTCATGACAGTATAAATTCTAATGGGAGGAAGCATTACTCATAACCACATCTGTACAGTTATGAGTGTGATGAGTACTGAAAAAGCACAGGTCTGTAATGTGGTAAGCATTTATTCTAGATCCAACTATGTGGCACAGGTGGGAGGGTACCACCACGTGGTACTGGAGCCATATGGGAAAGCCTAGATTTGGATCCAAGATCTCAGCCACCAGGCTTCATAAAAATTGGTAACAGGAGTAGTTTTATGGGATGTAGGAAGAAAGGGAAGAGGATTAAATTTGCATTTTGAAAAGATCACTCTGGCTAATTGTGGAGAACAAACATATTGAACAGATAGATATTGAAGATAGGTAAACAAGACCTTTGTAGAATTCCAGGTGAGCAAAGAATAGAATTTGGTCAGTGTGGTGATGTATTCGGTCGTTGGAAAAGTCATGATGCATATTTACATAGGAAAAAATACTTCATAGCTTTTGCAATAACCCAGTATAAGGGAATAGAAGTACATGAGTTGGAGACATTTAT